CAACAATTAAAGCGAGTACTATTTTTCAAGCTCTCTCCAGAGGGAATGTTAAAAAAGTTTGAGGGCAAATGCACCTTCTTGGGGCCTCAAAGAGGCTTTTGCATATGGGTGGTGGCAGCAATACCAATTTAAGGCCAGGGAATCTGCAACCTTGTGGAGTTTTAACACATGCCTTTAGTGGCGAACAGCCTTGACAGAAGTCCACTCTGTCTTCCCGCACTGTGTTACACAAGCTGAATTCAAGCAAGGTTGGATAGGCCAGCCCATGCACAGCTTTTGCTGTGTAACTCTACCCCAAGGGAAAAAATGGCCTAACAGAAATTATTCAGATTAGGGATAAGGAGAAATTCTGCTTTGGTGAAGCTTGGAGCTTTGCTATACTAAAAGACTGGACTGCAGACCCAGTTCTAAGTGTCAGAGGCGTAGCCATAGTAGTCTGTTTCAGCCAAAACAATGAGTCCTGTGGCACCTTAAAGACCAACACATTTATTTGGGCATCAGCTTTCATGGGCTGGAGTCCACTTTGTCTGATGCATAGAGCGGAATCTTCAGTTTGGTAGGGCTATGTGCAAAGATGGGAGTGTTATATGTGTACATATTCCTATCAAACACAGGATTCCACTTCATGAATCTGACGACGTGGGCTCCAGCCCATGAAAGCTTAGACCCATTTATGTTGGAAGATAGATGAAAAATCAGTACCAATGTGAAGAGCGCCCAAACCCCCAACTCGCAGCCCCATCAGCTTTGACGAGGGAATTCTCCATGAGCATGATGGCAACAGATTTCCCTGGTTGTTATAATAGAGTAATGTAGCAAGCGGCTAGGTGTTTGGGGAAGGAGAGATTGGCAAAAATCTGCAAGTAACTGGCTAGATCACTCTCTAGTGAAATGCTGTTGGGCCCATGCAGGTCACTGCACTGAAGATGTACCCATATGCCCTAAATAAGCTATGACACGATTATATTTTAATTATTTTTTTAAATTAAAGCAGAAATCTGCAATCATACAACATTGTGCCATGTAATATCATAACAATGTAAGAACGGCCATGCTGGATCAGACCAAAAATCCATCTAGCCCACTGTCCTGTCTTCTGACAGCGGCCATTGCCCCAGAGGGAATGAACAGAACAGGGAACACTTGGGCTGTGTTTAAACTGGCCATTTTTTCCAGAAAATCAGCCGCTTTTCCGTAAAAACTTGCCAGCTGTCTACACTGGCCGCTTGAATTTCTGCAAAAGCACTGACTTCCTACTGTAAGAAATCAGTGCTTCTTGCGGAAATACTATGCTGCTCCCGTTCGGGCAAAAGTCCTTTTGCGCAAAACTTTTGCACAAAAGGGCCAGTGTAGACAGCTCAGCTTACTGACTTCCTACTGTAAGAAATCAGTGCTTCTTGCGGAAATACTATGCTGCTTTTGCGGAAAAGCGTCCGTGCCAATCTAGACGCTCTGTTCCAAAAATGCTTTAACGGAAAACTTTTCCGTTAAAAGCATTTGCGGAAAATCATGCCAGTCTAGATGTAGCCTTGGTGTATTCTGATGCCTGCATCCATAGCAGAGACAGGTGTGGCAACAGTACAGAACGCATCAGACCCAGGTTCGGAAAAGGAAATGTTTCAACTATCTGAAAACTCCAGTGACTAGTTTTGTGAGTAAACATGGCTTGAAAGGGTGTTGCATTAGACATTCAGTAGCTCATAGTTACATAACAGCTCATAGTTACCCTTCGTTATTCACGTGATATATTTATACAAGATATTCTACAGCCCTTCTAAGAGTCATTACTGTTGTACAAGTAGTTTACATGTATTGTCATTGTATTCAGTGATAGTAAGAAGATAATTATGTGCTTTAGACTTGTGGCTCCAGCTGAGTAGATAACATTAAAAAGTTCTATATTTAGGGGCCAGGAGTCTTCTTATATGCATAATTTCATAACATAGCAGATGGAAAAGCTTTTCTCAAATACGTCCATTCTACAAATAAAAAGATTCTGATGTGTTGCACATATTTCCCAGTCATTCCCAAACAGTATTAGTTCAAGTACTGTACATAGTTGCCTTTTGCCTCTATAAAACCACAGTACTCCCACATCTTGAATATTGCGTGCAGATGTGGTCGCCTCTTCTCAAAAAAAGATATATTGGCATTGGAAAAGGTTCAGACAAGGGCAACAAAAATGATTAGGGGTTTGGAACGGGTCCCGTTTGAAGAGAGATTAAAAAGACTTAGACTTTTCAGCTTAGAAAAGAGGAGACTAAGGGTATGGCTAGACTGCAGGGGGGTTTTGGGATACCACAGGTATCCTGAAAAAAATCCGTGGCGTCCAGGGAAAGCGTTTTCTCTTCTGCTTTTTTTTTGTGGAAGAGCAAACGCGCTCTTTTGGAAGCCCCTTTATTCCTCGTTCCACGAGGAAGAAGGGGACTTTCGAAATAGGGTTTTTTTTTCCTAAATTTGGCCCAGTCTAGATGGGTCAAATTTTGGAAAGGCCTCTTCCAACAAAAGTATCAGAAAAAGATACGCAAAATGCGGAGCACATTTGCATATCTTTTTCCGATAGATCCTCGCAGTCTAGACATACCCTAAGCAGGGATATGATAGAAGTCTATAAAATCATGACTGGCATGGAAAAAGTAAATTAGGAAAAATTATTTACTTGTTCTCATAATATAGCAACTAGGGGTTACTAACTGAAATTAATAGGTAGCAAGTTTAAAATGAACAAAAGGAAGTTTTTCTTCACGCAGTGCACAGTCAATAGATGCAGCGGGGGGAGGGGAGCGACTAGTTGAGTAGTCACTCGAGTAATCAGCTCCTCAACTAGTCGCTTAAATCCCTAGTCCAAGGCAGACTGTGAAGTGTAACAAAGGAATCTCACAAAACTGGGTGATTGGACAACAAAAGGACAGATGAAATTCCATGTTGATAAATGCAAAATAATGCACACTGGAAAGGGATAAAGCAGAACATATCATAATGCCACTATATAACTCTATAGTATGAGCACACTTTGAATGTTTTGAAAAAGAGGAAGAGGAAGAGGGGGGTGCTTGGGTTGGCAGCGATGGGGGAGAGATAGGAATGATTTACTGAAAACTGCATCCTTCTACCAATGAGAATTATTGCAAGTGTTGCCTTTGATTTCAGTAGAGTGCAGCAGAGTTCCAAGAAAATTGGCTATAGCAGGAGATTTTTTAAAATGTTGGCAAATGAACAGAATAAGGAAACTCAATACTTCTAAAGTAATATCGGAAATTTGTTTTAGTAATATAGTTAGTCATACAAGTTGAATTTCTGTGATCTGGGACTTTCTGGTCTGGCAGTTGTTAATGGCAATTGTTAATTTTGTTAATCTTACTAAACAGAAACACAACTTTCCTTTATAAACCAGTATAACTTGGCACATCATGACAGTAGTATTGTAATAGTCTCTTAGATAACATCAGGAAGTCTCCAGAATTAGGAAAGAACTTTAGTATCCTGGGAACCTGTGGACATCTCTGGATGTTTATGATGTCACAATCACATCACACACCTGCATGTGACTGTTTTACTTATTTCTATTTATAGGCACCATTTCCTAGTAGGTAATAGTTTGTCAGTACATATCTAAAGGTTTGCTGTACAGGTACACCATGGGTAGCTAATGACTTTTTATTTCTGACCTTGTGCATCATCACACTAGCTAAAGTATGTGGTACTGTAATAGCCAATGTAATTGCCTTTCACAGCTTAGTGCTGAGGATTGTTTCTCCAATTAGATGATTGCTCTGGGATTGTGATAGCCTCTGTGTAGCTCCTAGTGGGTAGATTGCCAATTGTCTCAAAATAAACTTTCATCCTGCCACATAGTCTCAGGAGTAGTATCCAGTCTTTAAGATGGTCACTGTATGTTAAAGACCTTCCTGGGGAAGATGTGGGAGATATTTGTGTTCCCCCACCCCAACTGGGGCATGCTACAAATAATTATTATTATAAACTTATTGATCCCTTCTTGACACTGAATGAATGGTGATAGCTATTTCAATTATTCGAATTAATATGAATTGCTCTTCTAAAGGTTTTTGAACCTGTAAGTGGCAACGCTTGAAAATGTAGTCATGTATATGTTAAATTATTAAGCATCTCCTGTGATCATGCCAGAAATGGACAAGAAAGAGGTGTACAGCAATGAGAACCCAGGCCCTACATTTCAGTTTGTCAATGCCCCTTTATGTGGAAACAAAATATGAACCCAGGCCCTAAATTTCAGTTTGTCAATGCCCCTTTATGTGGAAACAAAATATTTCATTATCAGCCAGAAACCCATTTCATTATCAGCCTATTCTGAGCTCTTTAAGTGGCGCCGATTCTCTTTCGAGAGGTGAATTATGGTCAGTTCATAGACCTGAATCTAATCCCGGTTCTGACAGAGACAGCCAACGTATTCTTTTTTCCAAATACTATGAGGCTCTCCACCTTGTTGTAATAGCATGATCAACATCTCAATACAGAGACTGTCTCAAGATGGCCTTCTTTCTCAGACACAAAGGTCTAACAAAGTGGCAATTCTAGGAATTGTTTCCATAAAAAGTAGCATTAGGAAAGTATTTAATGTGTTTTTCACTGATGTGATTTAATGGTTGGAAAGATGGAGGCAGAGGGTAGCAGCGATGTAGCAGCTTAGGGTGCTGCACCCAGAGCTTGAAATAAGTTACGCAATTTGAGCTACGCAAATTTATTTCAAGTCAATTTTGAAATAGCTTATTTCAAAACATCCATTACTCCTGGAATGAAGTTTACAGGGACGTTCGAATAGCGAGCCTGTTATATTTCAAAAACATGAGGGCACTCAAAAGACAGAAAACATAACAAAATAGCGCTACAGTGTAGACGTAGCCTTAGAGACTAACCAAACTATATCTAGTATCATGTGCTTTCGTGGGCAAAATCTGAGTGGCAAAAAAAGGGGGAACCTCCCAATTTATGACAGAAAAAGAAGGGGAAGGGGAAAATACCTGTCCACTGTAGTGCGGTGCTAATGAGGTAGCTGGAAGTGTCCCATATCTAGCTTTTCATGTCCTTTAGGTGTTGACTATAAGGGCCCCGCCAGTTGGTGTCTTTGTTCAAGCCATGAGAGAGAAGGGCAGATGTGTAGATACAGGCCAGGACCCCCTCCCTCTGTGGTTGGTTTCTGAAGTCCCCCTGTGGGAGAAGGGCTGCTTTGAAATATATCTAGTATCATGTGCTTTCGTGGGCAAAATCTGAGTGGCAAAAAAAGGGGGAACCTCCCAATTTATGACAGAAAAAGAAGGGGAAGGAAAAAATACCTGTCCACTGTAGTGCGGTGCTAATGAGGTAGCTGGAAGTGTCCCATATCTAGCTTTTCATGTCCTTTAGGTGTTGACTATAAGGGCCCCGCCAGTTGGTGTCTTTGTTCAAGCCATGAGAGAGAAGGGCAGATGTGTAGATACAGGCCAGGACCCCCTCCCTCTGTGGTTGGTTTCTGAAGTCCCCCTGTGGGAGAAGGGCTGCTTTGAAAAGCCTGTTTTAGTTACTGGCCCGGGCTGTGCCGCTCTGGCCCTGGCAGCCAGCAGGGGGAGGCACAGGGCGGCAAGC